GGAGGAGGGGAAAAGAAGGGGGGGGGGGGGGGGGGGGGTTCAGGCGATAAAGAAGGGATGAGAAGGAGAGCAAACAATAGGGACGCATGACGTCGATGTTATCTAATATTTCTTATGGTCTCTACTGCGATAACCGCCTTCACCGTGAACTGGCTAGCCTGTATCTTGCATGTTGTAAGTTATATCTGGCTTGTTTCATATTTTAAATGCAAGTAGAATAAAAATTATCATAGTTACGGAAAACCGTGTACAGTTTCCCCCTTTAAAGATTTCCACATGCCTCGGTCCAATCTTTGAAATCCCTGCATCAAGGTCGACCGGTCTATGCGAGCCAGGAATACAAGTCCTAGAACTATACCCAAGATGATGCGAAGAAAGCCAGAAAACAATCCGACCAGAATGTTGAAAAAGAAGGAGAAGTATGACATAATCGAGAACAAGCGTCTGCAATGTAAATAAATAAATCAATCAATCAAATAAACATGTAAATAACTATTCAAATAAATAAATAAAAGAAAAGGATGGAAGGCAGAAAGAGTGATAAATGTTAGCCCTTTGCGGTGTAGTCACTTTCGGTAGGTTGAACTGTTTTTACAAGGTTCAAAAACCAAACGAGAGGACGTAGTGAAGACGGCAAATACCTGTTATCCACCGTGATGACAATCCTGGGAAAATCTCTGTCGCGGAAGACATAGTGGACAAGAAACAATTGAAAGAGGTAGAGGACAACGGACATGATAAACACGGACCTGAAATCAGTAAACCACCAAAAGTTCAGTATTACACTACATAATTCTAGTCGTAGCTTTAGAATTTTATTCGACTAAACAGGGACTGTCATTGGTTAATTCGTGGTCACGTGGCCTTGTCTGAATCTAATTGCATCTCGTTTGTGATACAATTCAGCAATTGTACCAAGCTCAGGATACAACAGCACGTGTTCAACATAGTGGAACGGTGGCCTGAGAGAAGGCGGGAAAAACCGACTGCAAGTTTTTACTTTCCTGAATGAACACAATAACAACAACAACAAAAAAGTGAACCTCAAGCTAAAAGCAACATTTTTTGAAGATATCCCTCGCGCCCTGATGTTTCCCTTAACTTCGTCTTCAGTGTGTCAGGGTTTTTCGACAACAACAACAAAAACAAAAAACTTAGAAAAAGTCGATTCTTCCCTTCCAAATTGCTTGACCTTCTGCCACCTATGATGTCATAGCCACTTAAATGTAACCATAGCGACCAATTTGGACCAGACTTGTCAATAATCAGGTGCTAAAGTAATTTAGAAAGTTGCTCCTGAGGAGAGGAGGTTTGACAACGTATAATAGCTAAAAATTTAAAATGCAGGGAAAAAAGTAGGGAGCAGCATCGCCTTACACCTGATCGCTTGTAGTGCACGGCACGCACGGTGAGGTATAAACCTAGAACTGCATTGAGGTACCCAGGCGCGTTCTAGCGGAGGAGAGAGCGACTGGGATTTTAATTCCGCTCTTGGTATCTTCCCAGCGTCCTTTGCGTCCACGCCAAACGTTCCCATGGTTCAATGCGCGATACTCCTTGATGGCTCCTGCAGTCGCGTTTCCGTTTTTCACACTTAAGACGCCTAGGAACGAGGCGGCATCAAAAGCTTCATTCGTAGTGTTTAACCTTAAAAATGTGCGGCGCGGCAGCAGCAGCTGAAGCAAACAAACTTAAACAAGCCACAAATTTTACTTACAACACTGATTCCGCTGTTTCTAAACACCTTTCCCATGCGTTTTTGGGAAGGGCAGGTTTTATATACTTAAAAAAAAGTACAGGGACAAATAGAACAAGCCATAGAACAATTCCCAGCGAGAGATATCCTGAAAAAAAAAAAAAAA